ACTACGGACTCGGGCCCATCCCCAGGCCGCAGGAGGCGCGGCGCAAGCCACGGTCCTCCCATTCCCAAACTGCCCGGCCGGCCGCACCCGAGAAGCCGCAAGACGTGAGTGTGGACGAGGAGGAAGCGGCGATGCAGATGGCGAGCTTTCGACTGGGGCGGTTTTGGGGCGGGGCGATGGGGGGGAGAGGGGAAGGGTTAAAAAAGACGTTGGAAGTGTGAGCCGGCGGGGAGGAATCGGAAGGAGGCATGGAGGGAAGGGAGGAGCCGACGCGTGTGCAGCGAGGCCCATGGAGGAAAGGAGGAGAAGATGAAGGAGGGAAGGAAGGCGGACGGGTGGGAGAGCGGGGGCTGGGAAGGGATGCATTATTTGTTGGTGAAGCTCCAGTATCCCTATAATTGGGGCTTGATCGATTTGATCACGCATGTGTGGTACCTACAAACTTTATTTTCCAATTTATGTATGCATGTGTGTACGTGCGTATTGCGAGGAGGGAAGATATGCGAGAAGAGAGTGTTCAGGGGGCCGCATTGGCCCTCCGTTCGTTCGCGAGCCGGAGGATGATGTGGGACAGTGCCCATGGAGAAGGAAGAAGAAGGCGACAAGGTAGAGAGATCGAGTGAAAGAGAAACCTCCCCCTGGGAGGGGCGTGACACCCGTGCGGTGTACCGACAAGGCCGGAGGAAGGGAGTTTGCATGCCTGCTTTCCCTGATGGATCACTCAAGATCGCATCTTACATGGCAACGGAGTGTGATTACGGCGTGGCTTAAAAATAATGACCAGAATGTGGGCCCACGGGAAAGAGCGAAGAAGGCGAAAACGGCGGCAATAGACAGCGACTGTAGACGGACATATAACACAGAGAGGGGGCGACCACTGACAAAACCAGACTCCGTAAGAGGAAGATGTTGGGCGAAGGAGTCCTGCATTCGAATCGTTTGGGCACGGCCTTTTCAAAACAAATAAAAGAGCGGCGGTGAAATGGAAGCAATTTCGGTTTGGGTCGTCCGTCCTTATGCCTTCCTCATAATCGTAACTTAAAAAGACGATGAGAGACGCGGACGTCATCATTTAATTCAGCATGTAAGAAAAGCCACAGCTACCAGCGTGCGACGAGTCCCCACAAAGAAAATATCCCCCTCTTATCAAAGGGAAGGAAAAAGAGAAAAAAAATGAGCGAAGCGCCAAGATGCGAGAGGCCGAGAAGGTAAAACGGCAGAGGATGTGGTACTTCCTTGTTTTGCCCCTCTCCCTTTCGCGGACTACGCGGCCCTTACTTGGGAGCGGGAGTTAAGGTTTCTGCTCCCGGGTGGAACGGGCAGATGTGGGTTGAGGGTTTGAGAGAGAGGGCGTGAAAGAGGAGTGAGAATGAGGGAGGCTATAGGGAAGGCCTGAAGCTCAAAAGACGGGCAAACAAGCCCTCCTTTTTAAAAAGAGCGCTCGATAAGCCTCGATGATGCTTGCACGGTCTGCAACACGACGTGGACGCACATCAAAATGGACAAGCACAAAAAGAAAAAAAGTCCAGAGTCAACCGGAAGTAATTTTCTGTCACACACGGCGTCTCAGCCTGAACAATGTTACACTTTTAACCTTCTTTCCTTTTCTTCTCTTCCACACAAACACTGGCCCCGGACCCCTGGCCGTC